AATCTTGGGAGCCCTGGTGACAGCTACATAGTGCTATATAGCCGCTGTAGTAAAATGTAGGCAAGCAGGCCACTATATAGTTCTACATCAGCTATGTAGCTGACAGTCAGGCTATATAAAGCTACAGGAGGTGCTTCGAGTCGAACTAGTAAATACTTGATCCTGTAGCACACACTTGTATTACATAGTACTATATAGCTTGTGGTAGTCATCAGGGAAAAACCTCCTTACGAAAATTCTCAAAATCGCTTATACTCATCACACAATAGTTAAATAAGTGTGTCGCTCACTGAACAAGTTTACAAAGAAGCTGGAACAGAGCTCCAGAACGGTACTACCCGTCCATTCACGAGGTGCTACTGCACCGAAATTTGGAAAAAGATGAACGTCCCTGCGGATGTCCGAGACGCTCTCCATGACGCATCAAACGGCAAATTTTGTACAGCTCATCATGCCATGGTGTGCTTCAGGTTGCTGGAAAGATGTGAACCATTCCACATAAGCAAGGTGGGCGGGTGGTTTAGCAGGTCCAGCAGGGAATAACACATTCGTAGCCTGACTTGTCAGCGTGAAGACGACATGAACTTGCGCAGCACAGTTTCCTTTTGGAATCAAGTCAGATTAACGGCCGTGTTCACACAAATGCAAACACACCATCCATGCCCAACGGTTGCTGAACCACTATATTTCAAACAATGCGCTACGGTCGCTTTTTGAGTCACACAAACACAAGCTAATCATGGTCCCAACCGTTGACAGTAGAAACGCGCGCCAGGCCATAGGTCGACTCCACATCCAGTGTCCAGTGTCCACCGCATTATGAGAATTCAAACACTTCAAAGTCCAATGATTACTAATCAAGACGCATGCCATCAGTTCCCATGGTTGAACTTTTGACGTTCAATTTTCAACATGTTTCGCTTGCTTCTTGCAACCACTATTAATATTGACATGACTTACTTGCATTTTGCTTGTCCTCTATGTAGCATCTGCTTGACATTTTTCAGGTCCCGACACTGAAACTGGTTACTACCAGACACACCCTCATGAAATGGTAACATTGCTGGTGAGTACTACCAGACACGCCCTCATAAAGTGCAAAAGTGAAGGTAACATTTCACTAATACAGGATGCAACATCAGGGTAATGAATCAGCTGCCAGTGACGGCCATCGCACCATACCACGACTGATGCCTGCGGAATTTTGCAAGCTAGTATCTGGTCCCGAAAGACGAGGTTAGCGAAAGAGGCCTGGCGCGACGCATGCGAAATCAAAGGTGCCAATGTCAAATTAACACCTCCAGTGGTCAAAATTGTAAGTCCTCTGTTCTTAGTACATGACTGGTCTGATTAATTTATATATTATGAAGCTCTTGCGGCGCACATCACATGTGCGCGGTGAACTCAAAATAAAGATGCGCTCACTTACGAGCTCATTTTTTGGGTTCCAGCCAAGTCTTTCGAGGGATGTGATAGGGCAAAACCAAGACCTGGCAGAATCTTTGAAAAATGGTTCAGCATTTGCCTTCAAGGTACGTAGCACAGTGGCCTGCATGAGCTTTTGAGTCCTGACTGTTGGATAATAGGACTGGACATTGACAGGGCTCTATAAATACGAGCTACTGCAAGATGGTAGCATCACAGGGTTCGGTATGTCGCACTATATTTTCGCAAGTGCCAACCTAACATCTGTGCTTTTAAGTTCGCATGCAGGTGTCGAAGCCCTCACTCTGCTGTCGGCTGCATCCCGGATTGGTGACAAGGCTTTTGATGATGCGATTCACGAGTACCAACTTGAGGAGGAGGAGGGTGCAGAGGCTAACAGGAGTTGAGGCTCATAGATGTGAAGAGGGCGCGGAGGATTGTGCAAGGCATTAGTAGAATCTGTCGGTAGCGCTGTGTTATGTATCTGAATTCAATTTTTTTTCGTGCTATTTTGTGTGCTACTCTATTCCTCTATGTAGCTGCTGGTAGTTCCCTGTAGTAGGTAGTCCTATGAAATACAGGCTACTACTGTAGCGCCTGTTAGGGCTACCTGATTCTACATAGTGCTATATAGCACAATATAGTTACCTCACATTCTATATACAGGGCAGGTAACAACAGAGCTACACGGTCTATCCCAACTATATAGTACTATATAGCCAGCAATGTTTTTGCTGATGTGCAATGCCAATTGCGTACTAGTTATTGCAATACAACAAGCTGCATCAACCTCTCATGAGAAAACACTGGCAAGAGTATAGTGATTCGAGGCGCGTAGACGACGCGGAGAGAGCTAAATGGACAAAGTATATCTCAGTCTCTGGAAACAGACTCTAACATTGGCCAGAAACTATGTACCTAAACGGACAAAGTATCTATGGCTCGTTAGCTTTTGTCAATGGTAGGTAGACGTATGTACTCACATCTCAGTCTCTGGAAACAGACTGAGATGTTCCTACAAAAATGCAAACTCTTATAAGTGCAGATAGAATAGGAATGAAAATTGTAGTCGTATATTGGAGAGCACAAGCCGACGTCAAACATCGCTCGTTCGTCGCTCATTCGGGATGCGCTCGTAACATGCTATTCCCTCATCGTTCCTATCTCGGATCTGTCGGCCAACGACTCAGCGGATCGCTTGGACTCCAACATTCCCCCTCGAGCGCATTCCAAGCTCATCGAGAGTCGAAGCTTCTGAAGGTGAGGACGTGGGAGGGGTTTTGTGAAAGTGTCGGCAACATTGTCGTCAGTGGGGCAGTAGAATAGTTGGAATGTGCCGTTCCTTATGTGGGCACATATGAACACCTCAGGCAGCAGTTTCCGGAGGCAAAAGGTAGGCTTTCAGGCCGGGTTTCTATGTTATGGGAAACCAGCCTGAAAGGCCTATGATTCTCCAATCTAATTTAGGATTCGTTCTAAAAATAATATCATACCTCGTTGCCCTCCCGCCAGGCTGCTCGCATGCTCCACCTCCTGGCTCCAGGATGCCTGGATACCTCGCGCTGCCCTTGAGGCATGGGGACCTCCGTACCTCAATGTGAATTTGTACGTACTATGTATTTTAATTAACAAATAAAAATTTACAAGTTACTTTCTACCTTCATCTCTATGGCTCCACGCTCAGATACTCGTGCAGCCCAGCCCACAACGTCTGGGTTGGGTGTTCAGTTTGTCATGTCAGTCCATGGAAACCAAGGAACAAACGCAAAACCCAGACGTTAGTAGAACTCCCCGGCCAGAAAGCAAAGCAACTGAAGTTGCAGGCCAAATTGGCAACTCTCCTCGCAGGAAAACTAAATTCTGAACAAACGACCACATGCCAGCTGGACATGTTACCTACCGCTGTCTCGTCTGAGGAGAACATGCCTGCCGATGCTTGCGAGGACTTGTTTCTCTTTGAAGATGAAGTCCCACCGCTTACTGAGCCTCAAGACTCGATTCCACCGCTGAACACCTCTGAGTTCATTCCAAATCGCCGCATTCTACCTGACATCGCTGCCGCACGATTATATGACACTTGGAAGATACTGATACCCACTCTCGTCGATGTTCAGCTCGAGTATACTCAGAGGACCGTTGGAAAATTTGTCGAGCGACCTCCGACGATTCTGTCTGCATGTCACTCGCAGAAGTGTGCACAGAAACGCACAACTATGATTGGCTTGTTCTTCGATGGTAAGTCTCAATCTGTGCATCGAATACTTCAAGTCGCTAAAGATGTTTGAGGCTTCACAACCCTCGACATTTTGAGTTGCAGATGTGCTACCGCACCTCAAGTCCTGGTTCTTCACAGTTTATTCCCAACTTCCCCCTCCCAGCCATGCATGGCAGTATCTACTGAGCTACTCACCTTCTATCGAACACTCTTTGAGCGCTCATGTGATGCTGTGAATGCTCTCGCATCTGCCCTGCACACACACTACATCCGCAGAGGTTTCCGCATGACGAATGCTAAGGTATGTGAATCAAAGTTGACTTACCTTCAGATCTGACACAACTTAGGGTGAATTTATCCAAGAACCTTTCTGGCAAAGTCTCGGTCAAGCTATCTTATGGTTTGATGTCTTACAGGTGGAGCTCGAATCCCAGCTAGAATGCGCTGTTCAAGCAAGCCGAGACTTGGTAGATGCCTCTCGAGATCCCCCAGAGCATCCCGCATCATATGCGCCCACTGTAGACGTGGTTCCGCGTGAGCGCTGTGCCACAATCCTTCTTCAGCGTTGTCCTGCTTGTTTTGGGGGGGTCTCATTTGGAAGGCAGCTGGAAGAAGGTGGAGATATTCATGTTGCTACTGATGGGAACTTCCATCATCGACATCGGCGTTCAGCAGGCGATTCACCCCATTTTTATGATCCCTCTTACTTCTTACCTAAAGCTCAGGTTGATGACATTGGGCGTCATATTGATCGGAGTCGCAAGTCTGCACTGAAACCGCATGCACCACTTGTACCCCATGAGGCCATTGACTTATGCGAGAATTCATATGAAGCTGCCGATGGAAAGAAGCAAAAAGCAGCCATGGATAGCTTCGATGACACGGGAGTCATGGCATTAATATGTCGCCACAACATTCCCCTCTTCTTTGCAAACATCGACACTCCAGGCGAGCAGCAGAAATACGCCGTCGCCCTTATTGATCACCTTTTTGTGTTATTACCTCGAAGTGCAACAGTTGTCACTCTGTATGACGTGGGATGTGTTCTCTCACGATCATTAAGTCAGGTGAGTCATCTTTGTGATTCTTTGAACCTTGTTGCTGATCCATTTAAGTACAACATACTTCCCGAAGCTGTGACAAAGCGCTTGCGATTTGCAACAACGGCCATGCATGCCTATGGCCACGAATGGTCGTGCCAACTTGTTCACAACCCACGCATATGCAAAGGCCTTGGCCTTTCAGACGGAGAAGGCACCGAGAGGCTATGGTCAAGATTTATCCGCTTGATAGGTATTCAGCGCTCCTCATCTGTATGTATCCTCAAAATTTTGTTTCATCTCTACTGATGTTCGAGTTACCATAGAGACAGTGTCGGTTATGGCTACTTGACTGACAAGCTGCTGCCATCGGTCTTGAGATGCGTGCTGACCTCAGTGATTGGATCCGGCATTGCCTTAAGCGGGGAATTCATGAACAAGGGACAGCTGCACAGACCACGCTGAGTGAGTGTGATGCGACGATTGAAGATCTGCGACATCAATGGGCTCTGCAGCGACAGTCACAGTTGTCCATCCGTGCTCGTGCATTCTTTTTCTTTCGCATTGTCCAGCCTGAGCCTGATTATGTTCTACAGATGCTCCTGCTCGGCTCAAGAAAGAGCTGGACACCGTGTTTGCCCTACAAGGTGACCTCGATGCCTCTGACAAGGCTCTTCAAGCAACAAGTGAGGTTATTACAAAGGGAAATGTATCCCAACGCACACTCGATGCGATCGAGAGCCTCGAACGAAGTCACCAATGCCTCATGGACAAAGTTGATGTGTTATATGCTTCCCTCAACGTTCATGACAAGTTCCCCGAGCTGGAAGGAATAAACATCAAATTTGTTTGGACACTTCTCTTGGCACGCGACCTCAAGATCAACATTCAGAAGCATGCAATTGGAAGCTTCTTTGAATGGGACAAGCTCGATCATGCCGTTGGTGGCACACAACAAGCATTAGGTAGGGGGCTAGACTTGCTTCATGATGTGTGTTAACACTTTGCAGGGATGAAACTTCACCAGCAGACCCAAAAGGCCATATCGAAGCGACAACCAGCCTTGCTGGCCGCACTACGTAAATTCAATGGATACTGCGAACGCCTCGAAGAACTATACGAACCAGGCTGTGGTATTCCTCTTCCAATGCCTCTCCCCACCAAGCTGAATGAACTCCGCAATGATCAAACACTGATGGAGGATATTTGGATCACACCTTCAGTTGGGGAGGTTCCTCGTTGGCTGGATGATCAGGATATTCGTGATGGGATATGCGCTATGTTAAAGCGCGATAGATGCATCGAGGAGCAGCGACGTCTTGGGCTAGAAGCTGACAATCTTTGCAGGTGGTTTGGTGATGAACTCGCTGCAATAGAACTCACCCTGCAGTTGCCTGAAAGTATGTATTTTTGTTGACGTCCATCTTTGACATATGCACTAATTGCTTCACAGACATCAGATTTTCTATCTTACTACGTCAGCGGCAGGAACATCTCCAACATCTTCAAATCCGTTGGTCTAACCCACTTGCGTCATCACTACGGTTTGAGTCCCGTGCAAAACATGCTGAATCGTTAGTGATGCGGATCTTAGGTGCTTCCAAAGACACTGCGCTTCACTGGATTCCTCAAACATCGATATCCTGTGCCACTACCCTGGAGGAGGGCAAAGAGGAGGGCGAAGAGGATCCAGAGGTTATCGCTGCGTCCTTCGATGATCCTCCACCCGAGCACATTGCTTTTGCTGACATAATAAATGTTGACACTCCTGACAGTGAAGATGAAGAAGACATCAATATTGCAATCGAGCCTCATGCACTCATTACCTGGCACACTCCCGAGGTAAGTAATATTTCATTTGCAGTTGTCCAGGTGTTCATAGTTTATCTAGCGAGTCATTGTTGACCCAGTACCACCAATGAATGACACTACCGTTATTGTCCCTGGAGTCATCACCACCAGGGTTCGTCCTCCCCGCGATGCATTCCCACATCAAATTTTCGAACCAAAGGATATCAAGATCCTTGCATTGCCTACTGCACTGCTGAACGACAGCCTCATCAATGGTTGTGCAGCATTGCTTTATTCTGAGTCTCTGCAAGCTTCTCCTGCTGTAGCGCAATATGCGATCTTGTCCACGCACGACCTCCCCCGCATTCGGTACAATGCGTCTGATGACGTGCTTTGGTGCAACATATCGTGGACTTGTTATTGGGCCAAGGACGTGTGGATCATACCGATTCATAGACCCTCAATCATTGGTCATTGGGTGCTATGTATTGTGCACCTCCAGAGCAAGGAACTTCACCTATTCGATAGCTTTGCCGAGCAACGACCTTGGAAGAGCGATGTCAGAGTGAGCACCATTGTAGTTCCTCTTTTATCATTCATCCAGACTCAATACATCTAGGATATTATGAAATTGATCGTTCGACTTTTCAACATCGCTCGGCAACATGATCATGCATTCAGAGTTGATATCGACTTTGACAATTGGATTGCACGTCTGCTGATAGTAAGTATGTCATAAATCGGACATGTATGTGTGTTCTAATTCAACCTCAGACAACAGCTGTTCAGACTGATGGCTATGACTGTGGTGTATGGGTGCTTGCGATGATCGCAGCAACATTGTGTGGATGCCACTGTACAGCTTTGAAGGAAGATGATATATCTGCATTTCGTTACCACCTTCGCACACTTGTAGTATCAATCCCTACATTCTGATTGTGTAGCTAAATGTATGGATTGAGTCCGCTCAACATCTTCTGAACCTCGGTGTGATAGAGATAAATCCTGCGCGCACGCCATTGTAAGAGGCATTGGGCCATCCTGAAGTGTCTATCACAGTCCTTCGTACCAGAGATGTAATCTTGTAATATGTACCACTGTCCTAGCAGCACGCCAATAGCATCTTTCATCTCTGTACAAAGATTTAGCACTCCTGCGGTGTACTTCTGTACACGTTGTTGTAGTTCCTCCTTCTCCAAGCATGAGTTACGGCCGTGCATGACCTGTACAAGGTTTTCCGTGAAATGAACCTCTGCTCGGGTATCGGATGGAGGAGGCATGGTGTATGGAGGATTATTGTCCCACTGTGGGAGCTCTGATTCGTCCAGATTGTCAGCACTTTGGGAAGCGAGATGAAATAGCTCGCCGTCTGGAAGGGAGGTGACTGCTAGATTGATAAGACTTCGAGGTAACGGTGGAAGCTGGGATGATATTAGGGGTGGCTTAGATGAGCCTTTGTGGCTGTGTGCTTTAGCATAGTTTTGAGAACGTCGAAGTCGATGAGTAGCTTTCCCCCTGCCAGCAACAATTTGAAGGTTAAGAATACTGACTGTATGTATAGTATAACGACATACCTCTCAGACTGTGCATGGTTCACCTTCTGTCTGTGCAATGCAGCAGTTTTCTCTGCCAAGGTAAGATATCTGGCTTTTCGACCCATACAGACGGTAGAGACGTAAAGACTCAATGAAAGGTGTGCACACAATTAGTTTCTTATTGCATTGTTGGACTTCCTTCATTCGAACATTGGGAGATATTGGTACCAATCGAACCGGCAAACGACAGAGATTTCAAAAATCAATGTCTGCAAAGTCAGCGTAAAGACAAGCGTAGTTGAGACATGTTTTTTATTAGTCGTGAATTTTATTTGAACACTTATTGGCTAATCAAGTCGCACGCGCCACCAGACCTCCAGCAGGCAGCCAGCTCCCCCAACTGCTCCAGCGCCTCTCACTCGAGTCGAGGATCCCACCGGTGTCTTGTCACACAGGTACGCAGTCAATCTTCTGTCCTAACTTTTAATTCTGTCAGAGGATCCCAATGGAATATATTATATAAGTCATCTACCCTCGCAGGAGCCTCCAAGCGTACGCGACCCTCTTGGGAGTCATTCACCAATTATGGTAAGTCAGAGCTCACCCTTGTTTTTTCGAAGCTCGACATTTCGAATACACTAATTATTTATCCATGTTCTGAAGGTTTCTATGGCCTGTTATCGATCACATCCTGTTGGACGACAACTACATCCATGTCGTCACACGTTGATGCTACCACACAGACGGACGCGCACTCTTTCACAATTTCTCAGATAGTAAGTCACCTAGTCAAATTGATTTTTGGGTCCTGATCATCGCTTCTAGCTCATAGATGCGGCAGTGTCGACAGAGGATCTGGGAGGAGAAGATCGTGGAGTTAGTGAGCTTACCACAGGTCTCCAAGTCGACGATGGATGGAAGGCTCTCGATGGCATTCCTTGCGTTATGAGTGGATTGACAGCACTTGTCAGTAAGTCTCGTCACCTCCTTCTTAGACTAATCTTGACTTTCTTCTAGCATCTGTTGGTGGCACCCTTCATGGACATGCCAAAAACAACTTTCCTTGGAAAACCCTACCTAAGGAACTAGCCCAGCTTGGATTTTTCCTCGAAGGCTACCCCGACGAAACTATTATGCCCGGCGAGATTTGACCTTCAGTTACTCGGTCCAAAGGCATCCACGATTTGACACGTGCCCACCATGAAAATCTTGTCAATGCACTCAAGTCAGGCACCCTTACCATCCGAGCCGTCACAAGCGATGCTGCTCGCACACGCCTCATCATGTCAAGAGACCCTATCGTCATTGGGGAGGCACCCAGACATCGCTCAGTCCACTCCCACGGGCGACGTGCGTTTGCTAACGGTGACTTTGACCGAAATGGGCCTCCCTATCTTGCTACCCCTCCTGCTACACCTCTTACTCGTCGTCGTGTTGAGGTCTTCATAGAGATCTCACGCCCGCCACCCCGGCCAGCTTCTAGAGTGATCCCTCCACCCCGGCCAGCTTCTAGAGTGATCCCACGCCCGCCGCCACCCCGTCTGTTACAGGGATCTGTAACACCTACTAGAGCCCCAGCTCTCCCTACGCCTGCCCCCGCTCTGCTAGACTCCCCGCGCGGCGGTGCGCCGCCTGCGCCTAGAAAGACAGCGGTCTGGACCGCTATGACCCCGCCTCATGGTGCTATGACCCCGCCTGACGCTATGACCCCGCCCCTGGCCTAGACGGCCTTGTACCTGTTTCATGGAGGCTGTACGCCTCATGGACACCCTAGATCAGCGCATGTATACAGCATGTCGCTTCATGAAGATCCAGAGCGCGCTTGGCGCTTCCTGTACCTGCCTGTACCTATGCGCAGCTGCCCTTGGCGCAGCATGCTTGATCAGAGGTTAAGCCTCATGTATCTTATCTGAACCTCATGTCTGGTTATCATAGATGTACGATATACTATTGATTACAGACTGAGCTAGAATACTTGTAGTACTTCCCTATAAGTAGACACAGATTATTGTACTTAGACTTTACTTTAATCTACTAGGTTCATCCCCAGAACTTGCTCATCTAAGCTTACCAGCTTCCTTGTGTGAGACCGCACTTCTAAGTCGCCCCCATACGACTTAGCACGTATCCGCTAGCCCTGTATCTCGACGAGCGCTGTCTTACCGAGGTAACCAGAGGAATCCTTGACGTTCCGTCAAAGCCAGACCACGCTCAGCTTCAGTAGACTCACTCGAGTCGTCGCTGAGAAGAACTATCCTAGTTCGCACACGCCGACCTACAGTCAGCGTAACACCGTCCAGTCTCTAGGGTGGTCCGAAACACAAGACATTCATCCATCACTCAAGCAAGTGATCTTATCCCGCCAATCACTGCTGTGGAACGATCTGCGTCGAGCTCTGAATACGCTAACGATACAGATAATGAAAGCATGTCTCCGGATGAGCAGCTACATGTTAGAAAGAGTCGTTGTCGCCCTGCCAAGCGTCCCAGGTATTGATATTTCTGCGCGCGCTGTTGTAACTGTTCCTTCTCCAATTTGTGTGATATATCCCCCCTACCCGATAGCAGTAGTCAGTATCGTAGAACCACACACTGTTGTCACAATTAAATTGAATTTCGGGCTGTAGTCACGAATCATGTATGCTACTCAAATCTTGATTCCCTTCTGATACATCAGCTCTCCCAACCATTGTGCTATTGTAAGCTCTACAACTCCTCCGGACATTTCAAGAAGCTGGATATCCTCCAAATATGCGACTGTAGTCTTCAAGAATCGAGAGACTGTGTCAGCGGCATGCCACTCAGAGTCAGGTGAGAGACCACAGAAATTTAGGATTTCGTCTTGCACAGCAGTGACACGCTTGAGTATACTTTCGATCTCGCTGATTGAGTTCGCGATGATACTAATATCACCCTTAGCGCTGCAATTGTCTGGGATGCTCTTGACGTACTCGGCCAACTTGTCTTTGGCGAACTCACAGGGGTCGGCACCAATCAAAACAAGCATGTCGTCCTTGGCGATTTTGATAGCGTGTAAGCATGCTGGCAGATCGGATCTGTTGGACATTAATTGATTTCAATCTATGTTTCTATTTTTAAACTTACAGTATGTCATCGTCGTTCGAATTATCAGTGTCTGATTCAGACTCATCGTCGTCACAGCCATGCAATTTTGCCACAGCTCTCAATATCTCTTTCATTATCGCCTCTTCTTCCTTGTCACGTTTCTGGACACCATGCATCCTCCGCCGTTGTAAGATTGCGTCTCTATGTCTTTACAAGTAAGTGTCAGGAACAGTCTCAGGACCAATTAATAAAATAATGACATACTTTGCATAATAGTGTTTGTTCTTCTCTCGTGCCTCAATTCTTTCTTGAGCTGTGTTATGAATAGTTGGACGAGCCATCGGATAGTTGTTGGAGAGGACTAAGGTTGAAAATTGTAGTGGAGGTTCAGAAATGAGCCTCCCAAGAGGAGAGTGTCTTATTATGCAGGTACACATTCAATCGCCGTTGATCTTCTGTCCTAATTAACATTCTATCAGCCTGAGAGGATCACAATGCAATTTGTTCGAGTAGCGCAGCACTTCTTGCTTCCTGCCCACCATGATGCATATGCCACCCTTTTGGGCAAGCCGAATGTGATGGTAGGTATCTCCCACTTCTTCTCAGGTGAGCCTTTTCAACCTTTCAGAATACTCTACTAATTCTCACGTTTTTTCCCCCAGCAGAGCAGACCATGTCAACGGCCATACCATTTGTCATCGAGCGTGTTTTCTTCTCACCTCAAGTCATATTTCTCAATGGCGCACTCTCCACTGCAAGGCCAGAGCTCACCGTCATCAATCAGAACCATCCTCGATTCGAGAATGCTGTGAGATCATTGGCAGACGAGTGTGTGCTTCATGTCTACAAGGCCATTTTCTACAACATTCCAGGTATGTCATTTAACAAATGTATCCTTCTTGCTAAACTGTCATAATATTCCAGTACAAGTCAAACCCTCTCAAATGGTCTTCTGTGTCACGCGTGGGGCTCACATCGGTGTAGTGGCAGGCTGGTGAGTGCAGATTTGTTCCAGGTACTTATCGTATTTAATCATTTTGACACCAGGGAGAATGCGCTTAACTGCGTTCTGGGTGTCACTGACGCTGTTTACTATGATGTTGATTCCGTCGCAATTGGGGAGGAAAAAGTTAGGATTGCAATCAATGAAGGACACATTGAGATGGTGGAACCCTGGGCGTCCCCAGAATTGTAAAGTAGTTACACCTATTGAATGTATAGTATTGCTTGACAGCTGATGCCAGACAAAGTGAAATTAAGACTTGCGTGATGTTTATTGGCTGATTAAGCTGCACGCGGGAACCTCATGTCTAACCTCGCGTGCCCTCAGATGCTCCAGTGCCTCCCACCCAAGTTGGAGGATCCCTCATCATTTAGCAATTTCCATGGTCTTGTGAGCCTTCCTGGAGGAGTGCGCTTATGCTATGTCACAAAGGTATGCAGTGAATTGCCGTCAATCTTCTGTCCTAGTAACTTTCGGTCAGTGAATCCCTATGGAATATGAGCATTCTGGTACTCTCCCAGAAATATGAAAGGCATGGAAGCATCACACGCACTTTTTTGCGCCTGTTTCCTCCCACTCGTATCGCCGCCTGTAGGATCAATGTTGCCCTCGAGCAAAAAATTGCTCTGTCACCGCACCTTGCTAGTATTTGCTTAGACGAAGGTGAGTGCATCTTGAGCTGCACCATTTATCACTGATCTATGTTGCATCAGACATTCATTTTAAACACGGACTAGCCTTGTGTTGGTCTATCACCCTTCATATCTTACATCTTTCGCTCCTCTCCCAAGTAAGTTCGCATGTTCATAATCTGCCATAGTTTATCTGACCGTGTTTCTAATGTAGCAAATGAATGAACAATATTACCCTGCAATGAATCTGCCTGAAAATTTTCCGCACTCCTCAACGCCCTCTTTCACACCTATGGAATCTCACTCCGAGCAAATTGGAGGAGGACGTCAAAAATCACCCCCCCCCTATCCAGACTCCTACCAAACTTCGCACTCGCATAAGACCCACCTCACGCGACGGTGGTCTTGTTCAAAAAAGTGCCCACAATAGAGCGAAGCTGCTTCCAGACAATGGCTCTGATGGCCATGCACCAGATGGCATGCCCAGTTCACACCTAGAACACTTCTCTGGTGGTTCTTCGCAAGGTCGGCTGGAAGTGCCTGGTGGGGTACCTCCAGGCAGCTCCTTAGAATTCTCCAGACGCAGTGTGTCACGCAAGAGGTCGCCTGCTGGTGGTTCTTCGCAAGGTCGGCTGGAAGTGCCTGGTGGGGTACCTCCAGGCAGCTCCTTAGAATTTTCTAGATGCAGTGTGTCACGCGAGAGGTCGCCTGTGGGACCTCGCGACCCTCACTTCATGCAGGAAGTGTTCCCAGCACCCTGTGAGGTGATTTTTCCTCAAGCACCCCTCATCACTATGCAGGAACAGACCCAACAAGATCTGCCCATCCACAGTGGTGAACGAGATGCCTACGACTTCTCGTCGCTCGACGTCCCCGCCCCATCATGGGACTATATGGCTGGGGGATTGTTCAATGTCATGCAGCCAACCAACCTTTTCATCCCGCACGATCTACCAGAACATAACACGCCTCCACATGTTCCACTTCTACCTGGACTCAATATTCCTGCAACCCGTGTCATCCCTCCCACTCCCGCCAATGTGATGGACACCCAGGGAGGGCCTTCAGGTGCCGCCATCATTGGTTGGAGGTCAGAAGATGCCAACGCTGCAATGGAAAAACAGTTTGACCTCATTGATCGCACCATCGATGAGCTTGCAGTTTCGACTGGCATGCCAACGCAGCAAGTTTTAAATTTATTTCTCAAGTCTTGCGGCCGCATCAATAATGGAACAAACCACTGGAACATTTACGGGCAATACTTCAAAGCTCACCGCCTGTGCGAGCTACAGCGAGCTGGCAAAGATGCGAATGTCATCAGTAAGTCTGTCTTTTAGTTCAGTCGTTGTGACTCATGTTGGGGTGCAGTCACATCAACCATCCAAGGCGAATGTTATAGGTCCTTCCAGGACGCATATCCTGATGATTGGCAAGAGATCCTCGACACATTCGACGAGACACGGATAGCTTCAGGCCCGCCTCTGACTGTCGCACAGCGGTCACAAGAATTCACGAGGTTGACAAAGAAAGTGACATCCTTGGTAAGTCTTACATTGTATACTCAATTTCCATGCACTGATGGAGCATACAGCTAGATATGGCCACCGCAAAGCATGGCTTTGAAGCAGCGCTGCTTATGTGCGGGAAGGTCGTGAATCAAGATGCGTCAATCGGGTACATACACACAACCTCTGGTGCAGAAGAGGTAATTTTTAATCATCGGTGTATCATAGGCCTTGCTGACTGCATGTTCTCGTAGTTTTGGGCTTCCCGTTGTCGTGCTGATGAGGACACGATGGTGGGGCATTTTAAGGCCCATGTGTAGTAAGTCAATTATATTTTCGCCTCAATACTTCAACTGACTTCTTTTTCAGCCACCAGGCTTCTCTTGCCATTGTCGAGGATGTTTATGGTGAGGCTCAGCTCAAACCTTCAGAAAAGAAAATGGCATTGCCTGGGCGGCGCACGCGTGCGCCAGCAGTAGCAGAAGAGGATGACGAGGTACAGGAGGTTCCCGACAATCTCGATTGGAAGACACTGGCCGACCACATACAATGTATCAAAGTCAGCATGACCTTGATGTTCAGTAAGCTCGGCGGGAAATTAATGGCACAGTCAGGAACTTTCCCATGGAAACTATTACCCGCCGAGCTGGCGTGTCACCATTTTGTGATGAGAGGGTATCCTGAAGACATGTTAATGCCAGGAGAGCCATGCATAACGGTTGCACAACCCAAATGCATCAGCGACCTCGATAAACGTGAACATGTCGTACTTGCAGATGCCTTGCGATCAGGCAGATTGACCATCAAATGACAAAAGATGGGAGACTTGAGTACATGCGAATCAATTCAATTCTCATATGGCTAACTAATCATTTTATAGACAAAACATCTCCTATTATATTCGGCGAGGCTCCTCCTGAAGAGTCCATGCATGCATGCGGTCGTCGCATGCTTGTAGACGGCACCATCGATCGTGAGGGATTGGCCCGTCTTGGACCAAGTGCAGCGGGCACAAAGATCCAGAAGCCCCCGACATGCAAGGAAGCAGCTTCCCATCGTCATGCATCCCCCGTTCTCGTGAATGACCAGTCTCCACAACCACAGACAATCCCTTGCAAGCAGAAGCTCGTCCCGACTGTTGAGCTCCATAAGCGTCCTCCTCCACGTCCACTGAAGGCAACCGGAAAGAAGACATCCATACCAGCAGCACACGAGGTCACTCCCATCGACATGTCCAGCACACAGGCCAGCTCGGAGTCAGATGCCGAGGATGAGTTGAAGGAGGACCAAGACCCTGTTGAGGGGCACTGGCAAAGGGCAGAAGACTGCAAAGAAGGTGCGTTATCGCTCAGTCACAGTGGAATCAGACTTGGGGCAGGAGAAAATGCCTGGTAAGCAAGGCTTTCATGTGTCATCCTGTTGTACTGATCAATTTCTCTTTCAGAAATTGAGCTGTTACGCCTTTGTGATAGCCCAGAGCAGCCTTTGAAGGCACCAATTCAACGTGGTGAGTCCGAATGATGACTTACATGCTGGACTTTGGCTGATGACTCCTATTTAGAGCGCCCCAAGCCGAAGAAGATTGTTCCAGGTTCTGAGGAAGCTGCCCGTCAAGCTGCTGTATACATCGAGGGTATGCGAGGAACAAATGCCACCAATGATGAGGTTCTGGCATCAACAGGAGTTCTGACACCAACGGAAGTTCTGACGCCAACGGGGGTTCTGACCTTGCCATGCAGCCGATGTTGAGACCTGTCCAAGCCTGCCTCCCAGGCCCATGTGGCATCCAAGAACGGGCCCTCGTGCTACCACCATCATCAAGTGACTCCATGGATGCAACGTCACATGTTCATGCTGTGTCTCAGTTCCAAGTCTCACAAAATCGTCATTATCCTCAGGCTGATCAGCGCCACATCGAGCTGATAAACTATTATCAACATGGCAACCAGCCTGGTCAGCATCGCGAGCAGATAGACTATCAACGTGTCAGCAACAACCAGCCGCAATATCATCAAGACATGATGTACACACATCATCCCACACCCTATGCGGCTCGGCCTGAAGCTCGTGAAGGCAGAGCTGGAGGGTACCGTGAAGGCAGTGGACCATCTGGAGCCTCAGAAGCCTCTTACCAGGACTTGAGGAGCTATCGCAACGATACTCGGCCCATGTACCCCCAAGATGCTGTCTCTCGTCAAGAGTCTCGTTACCCAATCTACGCTGACAACGCTCTTAACTTACCCTACTCATCATCTCCAGCTCCTTCTGAAGACGGCTACATGAGTGGGGCTCCATATTGATTGTGGGTACATCAATGGCACCATAATTCATCTTGCGCATCTTTGTCATCTTGCTTCTTGCCTAAAGATATTAATGCACGTATCTATTCACATTCCTGGTGCCATCCTTACTTTTGATCCTGTGTGCTCGATGTTTCTGCATCTCGCTCATGCTTGCTTTGATCGGTAGTACTTAACTGCCTTCGATGATAGTTTACATTTGTATTTCCTATTCTGATAAATCAGAAGTGTCCGGTTGAACAAACATACTTCAGAAGTTTGCGAGGCGATCAGGATAAAAATGAATTGTTCAAGAAAAAAGCTGCTTGAGTTAAGTGATTGTAGTTACAGGGACACTCGAACTCTCCTCCCGCACCACCTCGTCGACGAAAACTCCATGTTTTCGTCGAGGTACCAGTTCCCCCATCCTCCTGGAGATTGCATGCAACAAGGCAACGCTCAAAGGAGGCATCATCGAGGACGATGCAGAATTACAATGGTATGTTGCAGAGTATGTATCAGTAATGTCCGTGTCCGTGAGCCCCCTGAGCCTTGCAACCCTTGCAGACCCTCCATTCGACTCTCGCAGACCTCTGGGCTCCTCCTCGCTGGAGGTTCTACGAAATGCACTACGGTCCTAAACAGGATCTGAGGGGAGGCCTCCCTGTGGAGGTAGGCTTTCAGGCAGATTACTACCTACAATGAAACCCACCCTGACAGGCTCTCGGTACCTTTTTCAAGTGGTGCCAAGGGTGCATATGAAGTGATAGCGAATGGATATGTGTTTGGTGCGAGATTGGAATTTTCCATTCGAGGCGAGGGCAATGGCAGCTTGGTTATCGCAATAGACTGGAGTGGGGAGAGTGGGGGGCTTGTACAGCTCTTCGGTGAGATACTGCAGGTATAGTAGCTCTCGTGCGACAGTGGTCAGCGCAATATACTCTGCCTCGGCAGTTGATAAAGCGATCAAAGGCTGCTTACGGGCGCTCCATGCAACGGGGCCGCTATTCAACATTACGACGTATCCTGATATGGAATGCCAATGAGGCTGGGACACCCAGTCCACATCTACGAATGCCTCAAGGCCTCCATCTGCGGAGCCAAGGGTTAGTTCAAAGTGGGCTGTGGCTTTTAGGTAGCGCATAATGTGCTTTGCCGCCTCCCAGTGTGCCCTTCCTGGGTTGCGCATAAATTGAGAGAGGGTGGCGACTGCAAAAGAGATGTCGGGCCGTGTACTAGTGGCAGCATACATGAGTGACCCGATGGCGCGTTGGTAAGGGACATCTGCCATGGCCTTCAGTTCGGCGTGAGTGGCGGGGGACTGATCATCTGATAGGTAGTGATGTTCCGGCCTGGCTTTGGCTCAAAGCCCCTGGCTTTGGCTTGGCCTGAGGGGGCTCGGGCTCACCATATTTCAAGCCAAGGCCATGAGCCAAAGCCGGCCAAAAGCCATGGCTTGAGCCAAATGAAGCCGCGGCTCTTTTGCTATCAGTGCGACATTATATATTGTAGTGCAATAGAACTACGGAACAAGCAACATGGAGCAGACCTAGTCTGTCTCAAAGTCAGACACCTCATCATCAGCTTCGTCATCAGCATCGTCTTCCGCATCATCAAGCATGATATCCCAACTATCCTCGTCATCACCATCATCACCTGCAGTCTTCGAGTCACTCCCAGCTCCCAATTCAGCATCATCAAGCTCCTCTAACTCCATGAGGGATGACGGTCCAGGCTCTCGAAAGAGAAGGTCATGTCGTATCGAACACTTGACAATTTGAAGAGCTTCGACAATATCTCCTTTGAGCCTGTTCCGCCGTTTAGTGACAGTGATGCCGCCTTGTGAAAATGCACGCTCGCTGGAGACGGATGATGACATGATAGATAGGTAGTCTCGTGCGAGTGAAGCCCACACTGGATATCTCGGTGCGTTGATCTTAAACAAAATCATTAGCGTGAATATTTTAAGTAGTATAAGGCACACACGTACCCCCCACCATTGAATGATGGTCATGGCAGCTGGTAGAGCGGCCTCGATAGTCTCAATATAACTCATAAACTCGGCCCTCCATGGCCGCAATGGATCGCCGATAGAAGCAATTGTGGGGTTCGCAGACGGGTCATCCTCTGAATTGCTAAGTACTTCTCGGATGAGAGACTTGAGGCCGCCCACTTTACTTTTCTTGGATGCAGGCTGCGACAACAACGATGACGTACCTTCTTCGTTCAACTCGAGATAACGAGCTTTGAACTGGCAGCAGAATCAGACCTATGCATGAAGTTGAAATTTGATTGATGCACCACTTTCTCTGCAGTTGTAAGCACTTCATCATGTAAATCTTCTGGCCAGTGCCGCTTGAAATACACCATTTTCCCCACTGGATCAAGTACTGCATTTGTAAAAATCAGACCAATTATCCAACATTAACTAAACAACTGTCTTACACATTGCCATGATATATGCAGGCGACTTCATCGTCTTCTCATAATATTTGTCTACCTTTGCGGCCGCTGCTCGGAGTGATGTAGCAAACCTCAAATATTTCGGCCTTTCAGCGCGGGAGGACCAGGCCTTGTAAAGTGTTTCGAGTGCCGGAATTGCCAGATGGAGTGTTGAGCCACATTCTGATGAGAACGCTTGCTGCGCCACATCAGCATACTGAAAGATTAAGATTAGAAACAAGCATAGGCAAATTAGAAATTGACATACTGAAAGGAGATCCGCGAATTGGCCAGCGCGTGTCCATTCAGCCATCGAGAGTTGTAGAAAGTCGATCTTCATGCATTTGGTTAAATTGCGCTCTTGATGACCTATCTCGTACATGAAAGTGTCAACATGCTATAGTGATAGTGAGTTTCAACAAATAAAAAGTTCAACAATACAAAATACGTACCTCCTTGTTTGCCTCGGCACGATTAAGCATGATATATGTCGATGACCACCGAACTTTCATGTCAATTAATAGTTGGGTCGGCTGGGACACTCCTGCTTTGATCTGTACACTCCTGTACATCTCCTTTCGTTTTGCAGATGACCGTTCCTACAGGACAGTAATACTTTAGTATACTTTAGTGCGTTATGATGCCGACAAGTGTACCTTGACACAAATACTGCGAATAAGACCAATCTCATCCCGAGTGGTCGGTTCATGACCTTTCTGGTCATGTGGATTGTAATGCGGCGCTTTGCTGTATGTGGCAATCAAGGTTTGCGTGGCTAGATTAATGACGTGAGCCAGGCAGCTATATAAAAGAGTTAGTGTCACAGTAGTGAGTTGACGATGACAGGACTTACTTGATTTTGCGCTCGATCCAGGGAAACACTTTGTGGTGTTTAACCTCATAAAGCCGCGCAAATTCTTCCATTGTCGTCCCGTTGTTTGCGGCATTGTCACATGTTACATGCCCAAGCTATAGTAAGATATGAGTGTGATATAGTCTGTAGGAGTAAACTGAACTGACCTTATGTGTAATCCCGACACGATCAAGAATCTTAAATAAGGCACCAGCGAGTCATTTGCCATTATGCGCG